GGTTAGACACTAGGAAGAGATTTTTTATGGAGGGAATAAACAGGCATTTGAATGGGCTGCCCAGGGAGGTGATGGATTCACCATCCCTGGAGGTTTTCAAGATGAGTCTAGGTGTTGCACTTTGTGCCATGGTCTAGTAACCGTGGTAGAGTTGAACTTCATGAATTGGAAGGTCTTTTCCAACCCAGTTGATTCTATGATTTCCATGGAGAAGGATAGGAGCAACACGGTTTGAAAGTTATGAAAGTTGTTGTTCTGGAGAAGTGAACATAGATTTTCTCTGTAATTCAGGTGTATTCACTTGAAGAAAAGAGTATAACCAAATCAGTGGTTTGAATGCTTTTCATTTGAAAATAGAGCAGAGGAAGTGGTAAGGTGAGTGTAAGGTGGTGGTGTAAACACCTGAGATGCTTGAGGTGACACCCTTCTCGTTTCAAATTCCTTGGCTTCTCTGCATCATGTATGGAAGTGTAATGACCTCAATTACAAGATGATGCTGGTCAGTGAAGGATTCACATTATTGGCATTATTTCTTTTGGAGGCTTCGGTTCCTTTAAAAATGGTGTTAACCCTGGTCTTGCTCAGTGTTAGACCTCTGAGCACCTAAGTGGTCAACAGAGTAGGGGAACATAGGGATTGAAAAGGTTGGGGGTAAAAATGCCTTTGAGTAAGCTGAGGTGGCTGCATCTGTATTCTGCCAGATGTTACCAGCTTCTTTCTCCATTTTTAGTTTTGTCTTATTTTTGTTACTGTCTTGGGATTTGTCCAATGTAAAATTCAGGACAGTTCATCGTGTAGTCTGTCACCACAGCAGAAGATGAAAAGCACATGATGAATAAGAGAAAAGTTACTATTGAGCAGCCTCAGAAAAAGTTGATTCTCTTCAATATGCTGGCTGATATACTCTTTTGATTGCAGTTCTCCAAGTTACAAGAGAGAGTGGAGACAGCAGAATCCCGGGTGTCTGTTCTGGAGACTATGATTGACGACCTTCAGTGGGACATCGACAAGATACGTAAGAGGGAGCAGAGACTCAATCGCCATTTAGCAGATGTTCTGGAACGAGTAAGCACTGTCATCTTTGTCAGGAAACCAGAGTTTTGAAATTAGTGGCATGATCTCATGGTACTTTGAGAAGTGAGAATCTGTAGTGTACCATCTTTGGTCTTGGATATGCTGTATTTGCAGTCTTGTCAGTGCTTAATTAGGTGTTGATGTAATCTGTTGCATTTTTTTGCAGGTAAATTCCAAAGGCTACAAGGTGTATGGAGCTGGGAGCAGTCTCTATGGGGGTACAATCACCATTAATGCCCGCAAGGTAATATTAGGGGCTTGGCTGTGGGCAAGGAGAAGAATAAAGTTAAGGCGAGCTTGTGTGTAGGGCCATAGATGGAACAGAATTTAGATACTTCCTTTGCAACAAATCTGGGTGACACTAGGCAAGCCGTTTTGTCTGTGTTTGAGTTTCCTACTTATGAGACAGACCTGGTGGAAGTAGACTGTCTTAGTTGGTAATGTTACCTGACTTAAGTCTGTAATTTCTGTCATTGCATGAACAGTTACTTTATTAGTACCCTCAGTAGAGACATCAACAGTAAGATTTACAGTGAGTTTATTCGCAACAGTTTGAGGAGATGAATGCTGAGCTGGAAGAGAATAAAGAGCTTGCTGGGAATCGCCTTAATGAATTGGAGGAACTACGGCAGGATCTTGCGGAAGTGACGGCACAGAATGAAAAACTCAAGGTGAGACATCTGTACCTGTTTGAGGCAGTGGGTTGCTCTCTGCTTTGCTGTACTGTATCTCCAGGGAAACCTCATTAGCACTGTTCTAATCTGTGCTTGCTCTTTAGCTGTGGTTCACTGCGGTACAGGGCACAATTTAGCAATTGTATAACTTGCACTTGCAGTTCAGTGTGTTGTGACACCATGTGGCCATCACTGGAAATCATAAAGATTTCATTCCTGTTTTCCGTTTTGAGCTTTCTTTAGGTTTGAAAGATGCCTAGTTAAAACTAATTTCACCTCTTTACAAGTGTTGACCCCTCTCTCACTTTCCCTTTGCCTTGTGCAAGTGGAACCAGAGAACTGAAAAAATGGAGGAAGTGGTGTAGGAGGGCTAGGCTCACAGTGCTGATGAATTTGTCTTTCCCTGTGTGGCAGAATGGATAGATAGGAAACAGTATATGAGTTCCTGATATTTGAAAGATGGTAACATCAAAAGCTGTGACTCTATGGTAGATAAGTATATGATGGAGAGAATAATCCAAGTGTCATCTTAGTGGTCAGTAGATCTGTTAGCCTGTTGCAAGAAGTGTCTGACCTGATAACCTATGTTTGCGATCTGGTTCCAGAAACTGTCTTGAGACACCTCTGAACTGTTTATCCACATGAGTTTGTTTTGAGAGAAATGCTCTTTAGCTTACAATTTTTTCCCTTCTTAATTAGTGTTAAGCCTTATGGATGTATATATTGTCTGTTTCACTGCTGGTATTCACAGTCACTTGCTCACTTCTGTTTATAAGGAAAATTCAGATTCTGTACCCCTTTATTTTACTTCCTCATTTCTTTTCTGTTCAGTCATTATGTGTTACTGGTAGACTAACATAATGTGTACTTGCACGTGCATTTTCTCTATTCTGTTACACTTTCCTGTGTCCATCTTTACTCATTTGGGTAATTATGGTTTACAGTAAATGCATTGAAAAGGTGAATTATGTTTTCCAAGTTTGTGTCTTTGAGAGAAACTATGTCAGGACCCAAGAGTCAAAAAGATTTGTCATGTGACTGTGCAAGAGCAACAGCCTAGTGTGTGCAGAGAAAGCACAGACTTTTTAAATTGATGCTGAAGCATATCATTTGCATCTACTATTAAAATTCTGCTTTTGTGTTTCCCTTGCGGTCTTGCAAAACAGATAGCAAAGACAAGGGGATAGTTACCTTTTCTTGTGGCACTTTCTCG